TATAATCCTGTTCAGAAACACTTTGTTATACTGAGTGAAATGGTTCTTCCATCCTAACAGTGGTCAATACCTTATGTATTCAGAAAACAGTTACGGAAAAAAATCAGACGTCTGTGAGAGTTGCAAGCCTCTAAAAACTCTGACCAATCTCTGTCATTCGGTCCGAACTAAAAAAATTAAATAAATCAGATGTATTAATCTCTGTCTCTCTTTCTCTGCATGCACGTTCATCAGGTTTGGCCGGAATTATAGACAACACCCCTTCGCAAAACTTGTGAAGTAAAGTATTGCTAAACCTGGCATGCTACCTTGAAAGCCACAATAATAATATACCGTATTTTCTGGACTACAGAGAACATCTCACTATAAGCCATACCCACTAAATTTTGTGAAAAAAATTCAAACATACGGTACATACATAAGCCGTATCAGCCTATATTCCACTGATATCTACGGAAGTGTCTCCCACCAAATCTGTCAACTCACTAAAGAATGCTTATACACATATTGTGTTTTATGACTTTTCTGAGCCAATTTTGATGCCTTTTACATTTTCTCCGTTAAACCACTTATCCGACATCAACGGACATGCTCAGATTAGTCCAGGAAAAACATAATTAAACCATGTTTATCTGCATTTAAGTTGTTTCTGTCTTTAGGTTATGTATTATATAGCATAATGTTAACACAAAGGGAAAACATAACACTCAGAAATCTAGATTTAAGTTTAAATCCAAAGCTAAAAAAGTTAGCTCCCGGAAACAGCATAGAATCCCATTTGTGGTACAGATCGGGCACAGACGAGTGATAAAACAGAAGAGATTTTAAGGCAATCATTTTCTCAGGAAAAACATTATTAACCTTTAACACATTATAGTTTAGTACGCTTACTATTTTTAGGGAGGGAAAAACGTAATTAGGTTCTTTTTTGCAAAATAAAAATCGAGGGCATCCCGGATGTATATCTGGTAGGGGTGGTGGGGGTGTGCTGCTTTTGAATTTTGCAAGCTTTCCAACATTACTACCCAACATTACTACCTCTGCATCGTAACAGGGACATCATAAACAGTGGGACGTGGTGCTGTTTTTGCAATCCTTCAGCTAAAAGTTATTTAAAAATTGCACAAGCAATGTTTTGTGCTTAAAGATGTAGTTAAATAAAATCAATTATTTTGATACATTTGAAAACACTTTTTCTACACACTGAGTTTAATTGCTAAACATCAGCATATCTCTGCCTTTTTGCTCAAAATGTCTCATCAAAGAATGAATTATAGAGATGTGGGACAAGCTACGCCCCTCTAATTAGCCAGTCATCAGCATGAGTTCCTGAAAAGTGTTTTTGCCTCTTTTCTTTTCTAAATTATCCATCATGTTCCTTTATTCATGGGTATCAGAACCGTCTTTAAATGTTTGCAGCACTGTGTGAATGCCTGAGAACACATCAAAATTATATATTGATCTGTGATTCGACTCACCCTGTTGATCATAGAAGAGGGGAAATATGAGGTTGTGAAAATATTAAAATGTCATGTACACCCTAATTTAGAAAATAAGCTGTCAAGTCAAATTCTTCCAAAACTGATTCCAAAGCTGAGTCAAAGGAGAACTGTTCAATAGTTGTTGCCATCTTGTTGTGATTTCTCCAGCGTAAGGCAGCTTTGTCGTCACGCCCTCAAAACCACACCCGCTTTGCATCCAGAAATTCAAAACACATCTCTGTGTTGTGATTTGCCCACCAGTTCTAGGGCCTGGGGCATTGATCGAGGCTCGACCAAACTCGCAGACAAAGATTATTTAGGCCGCTGGCAGGTGGGGCTAATTTACTAGGCTAGTAAATATTGGAAGTTCAGTTTAATATAATACAAGTAGGCGAGTAGTCCCGCAAATGAATGAAAGTAGTTGTTCTAATGGGTATTGAATCAGATATGTGACGGGTAATGTTTGATCTATCTAAAGGTTTTTATTTGTTACTGTGTAAATGGGTTTGGCTGATATTTAAGGACAGATTCTAATATAGCTGCAGTGTGGGGACTATAAATCTGATACTATTTTTATTTTTCAATTGCCATTTTGCACAATTTGCTGAATATAAGAGATTTTGCTGATTTTTTTTTATAAATACATTGTTTAGATTTACCTATATCTTTCTACCCCTTTTATAGAACAGAATATAATAGAAAATCCCTTTATTATGCCACAATCAGGAAACTCTGGTCTTTACAGCAGCAAAAAGATTATATAAAAAAATGGTCACACAAATGTGGACCTTAGAAAAATGTATAAGAATAAGACAATAGTGTAGAGTTAAAATATAAACAATAGGGTACTGCACTGTAAAGTGTTTTAACAATATAAAACTGTGCACCTGGAGGATAAAAAACCAATATCCAGCTATGGACATTTTTACAGTAATGGATATTTGAAAATAACAGCAACATCAGAGATGTGCAAAATCAAAACAGCATTTTATTTAACTGACTAAGGTTTATATCATTACATTTGCTTTTATTTTATTTCATGATCCAGATTTTATGACCATAGGTGAGGAAAAAACGTAGACCTACCGGTAAATCAAGAGCTCTGTCTTTTGTCTCAGCTCCCTCCTCACCCAAACAGTGTGCCAAAAGTATATAATAACTGCTGTAATTAATACATTTTATGCTATAACCCATTATAACCTGGAAGGAGACTCGGAACTGATTTCTGTAACCAATTTCTCTTTCTCGTCTCCAACACACCTAACACGTCTTTTGAATTTGTTAGAATCTACCTCTTGTAATGAGCTTAAACAATCCAAAAATGTATGCATGTATATAACTTGCATTTCTGAGCTATAAGTCCTCCAAAACCCTTTTCCTCAGTAGAATAAAGTTTTAAAATAACCAACTTCCTTTCTTTCAGTTCACATAGTTCTCTGTCCTCTGCCTGAGTTGTTGGGTGAGGGAGTAAGTGGCAAAAGCTGGCATCTGTGGAGTGTTGTGCAAATGCATTTTGGCCTGCCACCATAGTGAATTTCATGCAGTCAGCAGGACTTCTACCCCAGGCATGGCAGAGTTAACCTAACTACAAATAAAGGCCAGCTGGTGTTCATAGTTCTGGTTTCCAACAGATACACTTGGTTGTCAAAGCCAGAGCTCATCCAGTGAACCAAATAAAGCGATTCCTCCTCTGACTCTGCAAGCTTTATTATCACTACAAAAATCAACTCCTCAGAGCCTAGGGACACTTTAACAAAGAGACTCTTTTTAGAAGGATGAAGATTGTTACTTCCCTTATACATATCTGGCTCTCCCTCAAACATAAGCCATTTTTTGTTGTGGAAAATACACACTTTGCCTCAACAGATTCCCTCATTATCTCCTCAATGATCTTATGTTGAAAAATGGGACAAAAATCCCATCCATAGTAGCCACAAAAACTGCTGGTGCCCTTTTGGATAATGAGATCGGAATTTAGTTGAAATATTATCCTGTCTCCTCGAGCCACCTGTATGCAAAGCTCAACCATGTCCCTGATCCAACCTCCCAGAAACCACAATTACTCACTTAATGCAGTATTACATTTGGACACCCTGAGTTTGCTCTGGGTTGAGCAGTCGCAAGCAAACAGTAATTAGAATATAAAGACACTGTGGTTCCTGAAAATTTAATAAAGCATGCCCTTTGTAATGATCTGAAATGATCTGCACAAGGAGACAATTAAAAGAAAAATCCACAACTGAGATGCATTGAGTAGACATGTTGCTCTGCTGTGAGACAAAGCAGAGGGAGATAGTGAGGGAGGTACCACTTACTCTGAGCATTTCACAGAATTCACTAAAACTTACTATAACACACCATCTGTTCCGAGTTTACTTATCACTTCACATGATTAAAAGCTTGCAAGCCTTTATTGGACAGCCTGTAATGAACGATGACTACCAAAATACCAACTTTTAAAAGGATGGGCACAATAAAGAATATGCTGATCATGCCACCACTTTTCTTGCTATTCAATATCACAACTGGGATTATTTTTAGTAGCAATTAGTATTTACTGTAATACACTCTGAGAAAACTACATGTGTGTATCCTATCTGTAGTGATATGACTATAATAGGTGGTCATTAATTGTGAAGGTGAGATTAAAATACTGAATATATATAAAGTCATATGAAAAGTTTTGGCACCCTTATTACTCTTAATTATTTTCATTTGTAAATATTTGGGTGTTTGAACCAGTTATTTCAGTTTGATATATCTAATAACTGATGGACACAGTAATATTTCATTATTGAACTGACGTTTATTGGACTAACAGAAAATGTGCAATATGCATTAAAACAAAACTTGGGAGGTGCAAAAATTTGGGGGCCTAAGCAAAAAAGAGATATTAATATTTAGTAGATCCTCTTTTTGCAAAAACAGTCTCTAGTCGCCTCCTGTAGCTTTTAATGAGTTCCTGGATCCTGGATGAAGGGATTTTTGACCATTCTTCTTTGCAAAGCAATTCCAGTTCAGTTAAGTTTGATGGTCGCGGAGCATGGACAGCCTACAGATGTTCAATGATATTCACGTTTGGGCATTGGGATGGCCATTCCAGAACATTGTAATTGTTTCTCTTCATGAATGCCTGAGTAGATTTGGAGCGGTGTTTGGGATCATTGTCTTGCTGAAATATCCATCCCTGGCATAAGTGAATCTGCTGATTGAGTGGAATCCATGTGACACGCGACTTTAACAAGATTCCCAGTGCCAGCATTGGCAGCGCAGCCTGAAAGCACGGAACCTCCACAAATTTTACAGAGTGTAGCAAGTGCTTTTCTTGGAACGCAGTTTTTTATTTTTTTTTGCCGCCGTGCATAACGCCTTTTTTTTGACCAAACAAGTCAATCTTGGTTTCATCAGTCCACAGGACCTTATTCCAAAATTAAGCTGGCTTGTTGAAATGTGCTTTTGCATACCTCAAGCGATTTTTGTTAGTGATGTGCTCGCAGAGAACGGCCTCTGTCGCATCACTCTCCCATACAGCTTCTCCAGGTGTAAAGTGTGCTGCATTGTTGAACGATGCACAGTGACACTATCTGCAGCAAGATGATGCTGCAGGTCTTTGCAGGTGGTCTGTGGGTTGTCCTTTACCATTCTCACCATTCTTCTTCTCTGCCTCTGATATTTTTCTTGGCCTGTCACTTCTGGGCTTAACAAGAACTTTCTTAGAGGTCTTACATTTCCTTACTATGTTCATCACAGGGGAAACTGACAGTTTAAATCTCTGAGACAACTCTTTGTATCCTTCCCCTGAAAGACTATTTTGAATAATCTTTGTTTTCTGATCATTTGAAAGTTGTTTTGAGGTGCCCATGATGAATCTTCAAAGGATATTCAAACAGGAGAACAACTTGCAGCTGGCCACCTTAAATACATATTCTCATAATTGGATTCACTCAGCTATGAAGTTCAAATCTTAATATTAAAAAGTTACCAAACCAAGTTTGTGTTTCAGTAAGTCAGCAAAAAGTGGTTAAGTGCATTCAAATCAATAAAATGATAAGGGGACCCACATTTTTGCACTTATCAAATTTTATTTTAATGCATATTGCAGATTTTCTGTTAGTCCAATAAACCTTAATTCAATACTGAAATATTACTGTGTGCATCAGTTATATATCAAACTGAAATAGCTGTTGCAAACACCCAAATATTTAGAAAAAAAATAATTATGATCAATAGGGCTGTCCAAACTTTTTCATACAACTATAACTATATAAATAAAAAAAATTGCCCGTTAAAGAGATAGAAACCTTAAAACTCAACAGCCAGTAGTGTGTAATGCAGTTCTTTTAGTTTATTTTCCATCTAATAAAGATAAAATATTTTGGTGTATAAGTATGAATTCTTATTTAAAAAATGAAATAGAACAGAACATTTATTCAAAACACTGTTTAAAACTGCTACTCTCATAAAGAACATGCAGTATATTTGATTGTAGTCGTAAATATTCACTATTTTTCACCAGGTAGAAATGCTTAATGGCAACTTGATTATGACTATTTTAAAATACCTAAAGAAAAAAAAAACATCTGAAATAAAAAAAAAGAGAAAAAAACCTGACTAAAAGCTTGCCAAGAGTTAGACAAATTCTGTTCTTTCCCATATCGACACCGCAGGGTCTCAGCAGAGAACACTGAACAAAACAAAACTATAGAGATAAATGAATATTCATGGGATGGCATTTACAAGGAGCTTATTACACAGACAGCTCAAGGCTTTTGAATTTAAATAGGCATAACTCAAACACCAGCGCAAATGGTAAAACTCTGCTGTAACCCCAAGGGGCTCTAGATGTGTTTGAACTTGAATTGCACTAATAAAGTGCCAATTATCCTTCTAATTGGGAGTAACAAAGCTGGCTGGCTGTTGTGCCGGGTCCCATGTTTACTGGATATCTTTGAATCTCCAGTCTATCGGCTGTAATGACTTCAATTAATTGAGAATGAGAGAAGTGATTTGGGAGTCACAGCCTGCTGTTTGGAGCTGTGGACCTGAAAGGAATGAATAAATACTAAATGTCTTCTCACAGTATTGATGTCTCCCTCCCCCCAAAAAAATGTTAAAGATAAGCATTTGTTTAAAATGGAGATCTAAACTTTAACATTAACTCCTAGTGGATGGACAGCTTCATACACAGCCCATAAATACAGCTGCAGTCTTGAATTTAATCTGCTACAAACTACTGACATTTTAAATTACAGACAGCTTCTTACTTTTAACACATTTGGATATGGTCATTTATTAAAGAGGTTCAATATCAATACAGTCTTTTTTTATTTTCTTACCCAACTTGCCAGTTTCAAAATGTGCCTTTCATTTGTGAATTTCTGGAAACGGTGGTGGCATCCTAAACATGCCAGGTGGAGTTTCAGGTTTTGTTGGTCTGGTTTTCCTCCTATTTACAGGATTTTAAAAAACATAATTAGCACTCCTTTTGTAAATGTTTAACTCTTAACCAATTTAGGAGGCTCAATACTGAATCACTTAATATTATTATTATCATCATTATTACTAGTTCATCATTTAGACATAAGTTAACCACAAAATGCCTTCAGATTGAAGAGAAGTAAATAATTAAAAAAATGTATTAGTACAGCTCATTGGAAGCCTCAGAAATTAATGCATTTTTCCTTAACAGGTAATAGAATTTCCTTTATTTATATCCAGTTTCTGTTTTGTTTTGCTACTATAACAGCCCTGAATTTCATGCCTATGTTTTCAAGAGGGTAGCCTACAAACCTGACCCAGTTACACCAGCTAGGAGGAATAGGCAATTTTTACAGCAAACTATTGTAAAAGCTTGTGGATCGATACCCATAATGCTTGACCCAAATAATACTATAGATTATTACATTACGTGCTAATGTATGCAATGAATGCCCAACGTGACAAAACTGCTAAACATCCAACAGGTTTTAAGCCAAAGCCAATGACACATTTCAGCCTAAAAGAATGGACCCAAAAGAGTCTTAATGCAGCAGAAGAAACCAAAGTTTTTTTGGGGTTTTTTTTACAATTCATTTGAATTATATTCCTCCATGAGTGGCTTTTTCTCAAAAAAATAATGTAATAAAAGGCACCCTCCTGGAGATGCTCAAGGCCTTTTACTGTCTATTCCTATCCCAGAGATAAGTTAAATGTCTACAACAACAAATCAAATAATGGCATGATAAAAATAATTGTATGATGGATCTAAATAAGCTCAATAATTTACTTTTGCATCCTCAGGTCTCATTTCCTTTGTACTAAAGGGTCAGAATGACAAAAGGTTGGACTCAGGTGAATTAATCTCATCTCAGCCCTCCCCTTATCATTTCCTTATCACAGTGAGTGCAGCATTAGAGCCTCACGAGAGAGGACTATCAAGTTGGAGAGACAATAGGTGGAATTTGGAAAAAAAACAAAGAGAAATTGGTGTACAATCCAGACAACAGCTGCAGCATTGGACCCCTTTGGATACAAACAGGATGATAATATTGTTTATCGGAATTCTGAAACAATTTCTCATCCAACAAAATGTGTTATGGTGACAGGCCTAATCTGATCATCAATCTCCAACTAAGAATGCATTTCTAGGTCTTGATAATTAATAATTTTCTAATTAGATTACTAAAAGTTAAATTATTGACTCTTACTGTTACAAGATGTTATTGATTCCACTTACATAGAAAAAAAAAAATATATATATATATATA